TTAGGCTATTTTTTAACATAGTCACCATTCATATTGAGGCACTTATCATGGCGTGCTACAAGTGTTTCGACTCCAACTTTGTATACATCCGCCGCATGAGACTTTCTGGACAACCCTGGTATTTATAACTTTTTTTTCGATGATTGTAATTGTGTGTAAGGAACTCATAAGAGATACACGTGATTTTTGAATTGCTTTATAGAGCATTTCGGACTTCTTTGCAGAACCTTTTACAGGCTGTTTGGCTTTTCAAAGCATTTTAGGTCCTTCTCCATAACTTATTTATAAGCCTCTGGTATATTAGCGATCACTCTCGCCTTCTCCGCAAGAAGAAATTGTTCTCATGTCCGTTTGCTCGATTTTTATATCGGACCATATTTCACACAATTGCTTTTGAACTAACCTTTTACCACGAACTGTTCGTACTCAGGAGGGGTTAGTTTCTTCTCAAGTTTGTTTTTAGTTGTTGGCATGGAAATACAGAATGAAGTTTCTGACACTCTTCAGATATAATTCCTAATTCGCAAAATCATTTGTATACGCAGGACACAATCCTGAAATACTACACCCACAGTTTTGGTGTGTTACCACGTTCCTCCAAGATTTCATTAGAATTTTAACATTGGAAATGTTTATGTTTTCGTATATGGGTTCAAAGTTACAAAACTCGTCCAAGACCAAAAGACAACGATGTCATATGTTGCATGGATCAAAATCTGTGAATCGCACCCATATTTAGGGGCGCGTCCCCATTCTGCAAATATAAATAAATAAATTAAATAAATATGTAAATAAAATCCCCTAATTTAGGGGCACGTCATCATTTTGCAATGTTTAAAACAATCGGAAAAGGCATGCCAGAAATATAAGAAGCCAATATTGATGGCGTATGTACCAATTTTGAGCCATTTGTACCTACTCTTTCAGGTACCTGCTACCTCCTTTTTACAGACTTCAACCACGCTTTACGTAAAACAAACTGTTTCGTAAAAGGCTCAAAATTTTACTCTCTTTTTGTCATTATATTGATTGATAGCTGTGGGCATACGAAGTCCATTTGCTGATGTGGCAGTCCAAATGTCAAAAGTGACGGAGGATTGTACTGGCAACAGCTGCGTTCTCGACGTGGTTGAAGTTCTCTAAAGAATTAGTGCCACTAAATGTAGCTCAAACGTAATGGCGTAAATGACTTAAAAGGAATCGAAAAATTCGAAAGAGAATCGTAATTCATATTCGAAAAGTATCAAATCTGGTATTTAAAGTAGAAATAGCCAATTTGCATCCTCTCGCACAAATCATCCCTCGTTAAATTCAAATACCGCCATGACACCTATCTTTTAAATGCGATCAGGATATTGACTCAAAACATTACGCTAGATATTCATAAAAGAGGGAGAATGACGGATATTGTCTGCTTGCAGGTTAGCGACGTGACGCAAAAATTCGATAAGGGTAGTAGAAAGAGAATGCTGACAGAAAGTGATGTTCGAATTAAATCCTTAAAGCACTTCATAGCGGAAGCCCTTTATGATTTCGAAATCCCTGACTAATACATCGGCTAAATTTCGACATCTTGAACTCTTTGCTGACTCCTTTAATATTTTATTTAACCGCTTCAATATGTGGAATGCCCCGACGTCTAAGTCCCATTAAAATCGTTTTTCTCTCCCGATTTAAACATTAATATCGCCACCCACCCTCCTGCCGCATGCATCCTCGTGCCATCAATATTTATCGCGAAAAACAAAGCAGGTGGCGTATAAAATTTAAGGACCTCTCGAAAATCTATTATTGATAACCGAATCTTGGACTGAAAATATGTTCGGTTCGTTTCAGCACTACATTCGCGGGGGGTTTAGTTAAATTTCTTCCGATTCCCGAATTCACAGCACGCTACATGCGCTGACGTCACACCCATACCATAACATTATGTTTAATTTATCGCATGTCTGTTCGTCTGCCAGGCTTGCGAACGTCTCAGATTACTACCGTCCTGGCACTATTGCCAAAATATTTTTGTTGCTCGATTTTTCTATTGTAGACGCCGCCACTTGATTAATCTGTTAACATCTTTTTTCTTGTAAAATACTCGAAAGGAAACCTTGAGCCGCTTCTGCCTAAATTAACGCCATTGGGACAGCGCACAGTTTTCTTTTAATAAAATTCTACCGTAGAAGGAAATTGCGAGTTTTTAAACGTTGCGCAAATATTTGTTTAAAACTGCTCCAATTAAGTAAACACGTCGACATCGGATGAAAAGCGTTTTATATTTCAAGTTTGCAGATCAAGATAATGAAAAACCGTTTTCTATTGATTTGCAAAGTGGAAATGCAAAACCCTTTACGACACCCGTAAGATAATAGTACATGACAGACACCTTCCTTTGTAACAAAAACGATTGCATGTACCATACGTTTGAAAAGAGAGATGAGTAAGTCTTGCAATAATTTATGAACTGACACTTTTTTCATGGAGTGTTCAAATTCTCACATCAAATCCCTCTCAAGCTTTCATCAAGTTTCCCTAAAATTCTTTATTCTCCTTAAGTCCTCTTCATATATCCTTCATTTAAATTTTCCTGAAATTCTTTTCAAATTTCTATCAAATTCTCAAATTTTCCACAAATTTCAATTTCTTCTCATGTTTCTCAGTTTCCGCATAAGTCACTTTGAATTTTTTCCTTCTATGCTTCATTTCTTCCTTCTTCTTTCTCAAGGCCTTCTCAAGTTTCCCTAAAATTCCAAATTCATCTCACTCAATTTTCCATTAAATTTTCCTGAAACTCGCGTCAAGTTCCTATCAGAGGTTTCCTCAAATTCCTTTCATATGTCCCTGAAGGTTCTTTCCATGTCCCCAAACTTATTATCAAATTCATCCCAACATCTCACCAAGTTTCTCTAAAATTCCCGACTTCTCTCACGTTTCGCTTTAAATTTTCCATCAGATTCCCTCACGTATCCTTCAATTTTCTATTAAGTTTTGCTCAAGTTTTTTTCTCTGGTTCGCCGATGCACCGTGGCAAATTTTATTGATATCGCAAAATACGAACAACAGCTTGTGGAGAAGAATTTAAACAATATCGTTGTATATTTTTGAAACTTTTCCAGCTTTTCCAAAGTGTCTCCAAATTTCCTAAACATCTCCAAAATATTTGACATTGTTTAGTAAACTTTTCATGCAATATCTAAAGCCGGCCCGTGTGGCGCAGTTCAGTTGAAGCTGGACTGTGGTGCTAGGGTCCCTGGTTCGAATCCGGGTTCGGGCATGGATATTTGTAAATGTATAGTGGGTTGGGTTGGTAGAGCAGCCTTGGCTGAAACCCCGCCCACTCAAAAATAAAGGCAAAATAAAAATAAAATAAAAAAATAAAAAATAATTAAATTATACTCAAATATTTTTTTTTCAAAAACGAAAAAAGAATCTTTTTAATAATAAAATATTCCATCCTTATTTTGAGGTGCTGTGAAAATCCTTATTAGAGAAACTCCAAATTTTTTTCATAAAAAGTATTAAATTGGACCACTTTATGGATACTTGTTAATTAATAATTAAGCACTAAGAATCTTCAACTGGAATTTCTAATAAATAACTAATACGTGCGCGATTTGTAACTTCATAGACGAAAGTTATTTAACACGCCCCTTTATGTTAGACATTTGTTATTACTAATATGTGTGGAGAAACTAGTTTTTTTTTAATAAAACGAGAGTTATCGCTTACGATCATAGACACATAAGGCGAAACATTTACGTTTCTAGCAGGCCTAAGTAATTGTTTATGTTATTATTAAAGGATTGATATTTAACTTGCAAAGAAAGCGCTCGGGAGGTAGTCAAGCATACCTCCGTTGATAGGGGAAAGATGTAGAAATGTGCGGTTTAGAAGCATTTGCTAATTTTCTTCAGTGCGAACCTACTATCGGAATACAAGGTAAATTATTTTCAATTAATATTCATTAATTGAATTAGAGACATAATATTTGCTATAAGTAGTAGCTATAATACTATATAAATCAGTATGTGGTCTGATATGAACAAATGCGACAAATGGTGGCGATCGGCTATCAATTTTTGTAATTGGAAATGTAATTAAATTGGGTAATTACGCAAACCGCTAGTAAATTATATAAGTTCGCTGAAAGGAAAGAACCACTCATGGAATTTTAACTTTCTAAAATCTTTAGAATTTTCCGATACTGATATTTTTAAAACATTCGGAACGTTTTAGGAAAAAATGTCTGGTATTTTTTAATGTCAACGTTCTAAATCCTTCATAGTCTTCTCATATGCATACTGAGATCCCTTCCTTCTAATCAGACCAATCAATGAGTCATGGTAAAACCTATGCTAAAATCAAGATTAAATTTTAATTCTCGTCGCTTAAGCGTTGATGAGACCTAGATTTAAATTGACCACGTCAGAATGTCAAGGTTTATTATATGTGTGTAGTATATTTCCCTTTAAAAAGATACGGCCGCGTTTGTTTGGCGAAAATGAAGCTCTTTGTGCCGCTCGCGAATCCATTTAATATTCTAAAAGCTACAAGCAAAAATAGAACAAGCTTTTTTCACATCTAATAAAGTAAAATCGTATGATTAATTCATGAAACACTAAATAAATTACTGGGCGAAAATGTTTCTCTTTTCGGACTGGGGGGAGTGTATATAGAGGAGAAAAAAATCGGCTAATTACGCGCGGGTCGGTGGCGGAAAGGTCTGTTAATATCGAAGAGTCGCCTCAATAATTGTAGCAATAATTTCTCGGTTAGGGTTTGTAATAAAGGCGTATAGGAGGCGTTTTCTCAAGGTGTTACAGTTTCCTTTGTGAAGGGTCGGACTTTGTGGTAATCCCCCCGAAAACCGAAAACCGCAAACCGCCGAGTTTGCAAGTTTGCTTTTCCTACTCCGTCAAACGATCTTAAAGGAGACGTATTGGAAGAAAAACTACGTACCTACGCGATGCTAAAGATTCGTAATTCATTTGAGTTTCTTCTGTTTTCAGAGTTCCATTAAGTATGGCTGGAGCGTTTTGAAATGGCAACACCTGCCATTTTCTGCCTTGGATTACAGTTGGGTGAGTATACATTTAATTCTTCATTCTCCTTTTGTTGACTTAAAAGTTGACATTTGACAGTTAAAAATTGACACTTAATGACAGTTTAAGTCAGAAAAAATTATAATTTGGTGTTTGAAAGTTTACGCTTGAATTTGAAATTGAACCTTAACGCCTAATAATTGACACTTGTGGTTTGACAGCTCGACACTTCAAGCCAGTTTGTTTGCGTGAAGGAGGTTTGTGCCATAGGCTACATATAAAGAAATGCAATAATGTAACATTTTTAAAAGGCTTTCAAGAAGTTTTAATATTTCTCAACAAACCTTAAGATTTCCAGTCATCAAGAGTAGTCTTTCGGAATTTTCTTGTAACTTGAAACATTTGTAAGACGCTGTATAGCACTCAAAACCTTTATTTGACACTACAAGGGCATTTTAGAAGCTTTATAAGTGTTTAAAGGAGAGTTACTTGAAAAATATTATTAAAAGCTCTTATGAGAGCTTAAGCCTTGAATAGGATTTAAGAATGTTACCAGGCTTTTAAGAGCTTTTATTAGACCTTAAAAGTCTAAGAATTCCAAATATTCTCAGCAAGTCTTTATGATGAAGTACCTACACAAATCGTTTTTTGGATTATTTCAGAATTTTATTAGTGTTTAAGAGATTTTAAACTGTTTTTTTGAAATCTTGAAATTAAACAGAGTGGTAAAAATGACTGTACAAAAAAGTAAAAGCTGTAGATACGGTGCGGAAAATGTAATGTAAAAGCAAAAATTGAACGGTATGAATGCAAAATAAATTTACGGAAAATTACGATACTTACGAAACGTAACTTGTGTAGATACAAAAAGATTTTTAAAATTTATTTTTCGGCTTCTCTGGCCATCATAAAAATCGGGGACAACTTACAAACATCTAGAAAAAGGGATATCTCACACGACTGGTTTTGATAACGTTTACGACAACATATTTATTTAGCTACTGTTAATTGCACCTACTTAATTGGTCGGATTGAAATTTCTAAAATCGTTAGTCTAGTACGGCTCATTGTTTATTGGCATTCCTCGGGTCGGCATGGTCACTTATCAAACCTGCATGGCCTTGTAGTTTTAATGTTCGTTTTAATTTACCATAGGAAACAAAAACCTACTAATAATAGTTTAACGGAACTGAAATTCTAAGATATTAATTTGCACTCGTCTTCCAAATAAGAGGTTTGGGATGTAACAAAAATATCTTGATTAATTACAGCTTTTGGTTACCGTAGCAGCGGCTAAAACACAACTCTAGAAATTAAATTGAGTACATATACCTTCCATCTTCAACTCCTAGAACCAGCACAAATACTTTTGACATGACACTTAAGCGCCCAACTTAAAACGCTTCTAGATACATAGTGATCCCTAAAACGGGCACACGTGAAAGCGAAAAGCGGGTGGTCCGTTACAAATTGCTTTAGATATTTGTATTTCGCCCGCCCAAAAAAACCGGTAGCAACCAGCCAGTCTGGCATGAAATTCAATTTTGGTCGATCTAATGCGTTTGAACGGTTTCTCAACCAAATTTAGCGCATAAACAGTTGTGACTTCGCCGTTGTGCCTAAATAATAGTTTTGAAATATTTTCGTCAATTCTATGGACTCATCCAAGTGGCAGATATAATACCCTATCACTATTGTGTAAAAATTTGAGAAGTGTACCCAAAGGCATTTTATTTACACACAATATTTGAGAAGGAGGTGGTTTTTTCTTCCGTTTGAGCTTTACACCTCTATCTCCATGTTGAATTTTCTCGGAAAAAAATTGAAGTTTCGGGAGAACATTTTAAAGGAACCCTTTTCTCCTTGACATTTTATTAGAAATCGCGGAAGAATCCATTATATTTTATTATATATTAAAGTGCCTCTATTAGGTATCTTATAAATTTCTTCCTAGGAATTTTGAGTAATTTTTCTTATGGGCCATTTTCTCCTACAGATATTACTAAAAACCCCTGTAACGGAAACATCTTTATTATATTCTTCTAAACCTTCCCCGGAGTTGTTCCTGGAACCATCCTTCTTAATCGTTTATTAGGGAACTTTGAGATCCATTCTTAGGAATATGACTGGTAATCTTCTTTAGAACCTTTTTAGGAACATTCTTCTTTGTAGTTTAATCTTCGTACAAATCTTTTATGGAGATCTTCCTAGAGGCTGTTTCCCGCTCGCCCGGCGCACTTTGCCTAGGCTGCAATTCGCTCGGCACTGGTTTTTACAGCATCACTTTGACGTGGAAGTTTAATAACAGGCCTATTCCAATGCCGAGCGAGCCGAAGGCGAGTTCGGCATAACTGTAGGCAAAGTAGAGGTATGACCTACCCCATGAGATGATTACTCTGCCTAGATATTAAAGAAAGATTTTAAGAAAGTTTCCAGGAAGAGTAAAGGTCTGGTGGGGTAAGTTATACCTCTATTCTGCCTAGGCTTTGGCTCGCTCGGCACTATAATATTATGTATTATTTATTTATTATCCTTCTTTTATTTTATTTTATGTTCGTGGAAATTCAATAACAGGCACGTTTCAATGCCTAAAGAGCGGAATGTATGCAAAAGTGATAGCTTTAAAAGCATTGCCGAGCGAGTCGAAGGTGAGTTCGACACAAACCTAGGCAGAGTAGAGTAGAGGTATGACCTACCCCATTAGATCATGACTTTGCGTAAATATTGATGAAAAATTTTAAGAAAGTGTTCAGGAAGATTTTAAAATAGAAGATCTGGTGGGGTAAGTTATACCTCTACCCTGCGTAGGTTTGTACCGCACTCGCCCCCGGCTCGCTCGGCACTGATGTTAATTCTATCACTTTTGCGTGGAAATCTAATAGCAGCCACATTTCAACGACGAAAGAGCCGAAGGTATGCAAAAGTGATATTTTTTAAAGCACAAACCTAGGCAGTTAGTAGAAGTATGACATAGTCCAGGGAATAGAGGGTTTAAACTTGCAAAATGAGAAGTAGCTTCTTTTGCATGTCATAGACAGTCATTTGGTGGTTAAGAATCTAAGTTTTCGACCTCCCACCCCTTGTGCTTCCCCCGTACCACCCCCAAAACCTCTGAAATTGGTTGGTTTCTTAGTTTTTCAATCATATCTTTTTAATGGTTCACTTTAGAAAAAATTGAAATTGTAGACCATAAAATCTACACAACTTTTATATACGCTACTTTTTTGTGAAATGTTTATTAAAAGAGATACAGAGCTTCAAAGTTTGCTTTTAAGAATTCTGAAATTTCTATGTAGATGTTTTAACCAAAATTTATACTTATAATTAAGAATTTTATGAGAAAATATCTTGAACCTACCGTGGTCTAAAGCCCCCCTATCCTGCACCCTTACCAAAGGGAATGAATAATAATTCAACTTTCTCGAGATATTTGAATCACTTGTGGCGATTGATAAGTTAGTCAGAGTTCCAGTTTACCCCCTACTGAAATGAGTGGTTTACCCTTATGTTGTTCTGTAAACGCTACTTTTTTTCAAAAAGGCGCTAAAGACATTTACTATTCATGTTCATATAAAATAATGATTTGTAAATTATGTTCGAAAGCGGTATAATCATAGATAGTAGGACAATCACTACTATAGGGGGTTGAAATAATCATCCCTTTTTGTAGGTGATGGAAAGGGTTAAAATGAATTAAGACCATTTTTCTTATTTGATAATCGTACTCGAAAGCATCATAATCACACAGTGATGAATTCCTACTATGACCAAGGGGTTGAAGTGCTATCATCCTCTTTGATAGGGGTGCAGGGTACGTAATTTCGTTGAAATATGTACAGGGTGAGTCAACGATTGCGCGGAGTAACTTAATGCCTTGAAGATAAGATTTTTCGATGGAGTGCTTTTGTATTATGATATGGTGGAATATTCTCCACATTTTAAAAATATTTGGAATTATACAGGATGCGCCCACAAAGTAGGGCACCCAAATGGTACATTTTTGAAATAGAACCCCTGTATTTGAATGCATTTTTGAATTCTACGTGTAATTGTACGTCTTTTTTATTATATGGTTAATATCCGAAAAGCTAGTAGTTTTAAAAGATAATTCGATTTTTAAGAAAAATTGGGCGTTTGCAAGCGTCAGTTTATATTGTCAAAATTATTACTTAAATTTTTATTCCAGGTTTTATATCTTTTATCTTGGGTTAAGTAAAAGTCAAATAAATACATCTACTATGAAACATTAAAAAAATAGCTTACAGGGTGTTTTTTTGATCCAAAGTTACAAAACTTCATATTAAAAAATCTCACTTTTTTTAAATGGAACACCCTGTATATTTTTCTGTCATCACTTAGCTCCTCCAAAAACCTTCAACTTTTGATAATAATGTCCTATACCTATCTCTGATAGTTTTCGAAATATCTTGGGTTTCCTGGTTTTTATCTTCTAATCTTAAATAAGTTATATGTAATTTACATAATAGTGAGGTGGTCACGATAAAAAAAGGCAATTTTTATCTATCGTCCAAAACGAAAATCATATCGATTGATTTATTTTTCAAACAATTTATTTTAAGTCCAAAAACTATTTTAAAAAATGTACCATTTGGGCGCCCTACTTTGTGGGCTCGCCCTGTATAATTCCAAATATTTTTAAAATGTGGAGAATATTCAACCATATCCAAAGCACTCTATCGAAAAATCTTATCTTCAAGGCATTAAGTTACTCCGCGCAATCGTTGACTCACCCTGTACATACATAGAAATTTCGTAATCTTTAAAATAAAGACAACTTTGAAATAAAAAACTTACGAAAGTATATAAGTGTAAAATTTGATTGTTTACAATTTCTAATAAGAATATTTTTCTGTAAAGTGAACCTATAAAAAGATATGATTGAAAAACTAAAAAACCAACCAAATTTCTTTGATTTTAGGGGTGGTACGGGGGAAGCATAAGGAGTGGGAGATCGAAAACTTGGATTTTTCACCATCAGATATTCCTCCATAACATGCAAAAAAATAATTGGAACTACT